GGCCGTGGGCTGCCACCTGCCGCATGTTCCTGAGGCTAAGCATACAGCCGGTTTGACCCGGAGCAGAGGGACAGAGGTACAGCCTCCCAGGAACCCGGGAGTCAGCGGTTGTTCATTCTCCCTCCACTCAACAACCGCGGGCAGGGCTCAGGCTCCTGGCTTTCTGCGTGTCACGGTGCCCAGCAGATGACCCTCCCTGCAGGGCGTGTGTGGCATCCTGCCTCCTTCCCTTGGCTCGGCCTCTCCCCCAGCCCACCCAGGTAAAAGGTTCGCAGGGAAGGGCAGAACACTTCAGCAACTCCCCCCGGCCCGCGCGCCGCCACACACGGCCAACCGAGACGAGCATGTTCAAGCCGTTCTTAATCCCACGGACAACGGGGGCAGCAGATGTTTTCAGAACTAAGGAGGGGTTTAATCCAGCATCATACGGAGGCAGGATGACCTGGGGAGCAGGGCTCATCTGGGAGCCCCCAGAAAGGAAATGCCAGGAGGTTGCCCCATGAGGGCCGACGTACACAGCCCACTCTGGAGACAAGAGGAGCTGCAGGACATCTCACTGAGTACACACTCAGGGTGTGGCTGACCGAAGCCTGGTTCAGGGAGACCAACAGGGAAAGAGTTTCACTACCCTGACCCTCTTGCTCTCTGGGAAAGAACCAGCCCTGCACTCCTGAGCCTCAGAAGAATGCCTGGCTGCCAAGCACGTGCCCCGTCAGCCCCAACAGCCGCCAACACCTGCAAAGCACCGTCACCTGCCACAGGCCGTGGGGCTGCCCCTGCGCAAACTGTTCCTGGAGGCTAAGCCATACAGCCGGTTGGACGCCGGAAGCAGAAGGGACAGAGGGTACAGCCCTCCCAGGAACACCCGGGAGTTCAGCGGTTGTTCATTCTCCTCATTCAACAACCCCCCGCGGCGGGCTCAGGCTCCCTGGCTTTCTGCGTGTCACGGTGCCCCAGCAGATGACCACTCCCTCCGCACGTGCGTGGTGGGTGTGGCATCCCTGCTCCTTCCCTGGCTCGGCCTCGTCCCCAAGCCCAACACCAGGTAAAAGGTTTTTTCGCAGGGAAGGGGCATGAACACTTCAAGCAACTCCTCAGATAACCAATTGGCGGGGGCCGGGGGCTCACACCTGTATTCCAGGCACTTTGGGAGGCCGACAGTGGGCTGGATCATGAGGTTTGATGGAGATCAAGACCATCCTGCTAACAGGTGAAACCCCGTCTCTACTCAAAAATTAACAAAATTAGCCCGGGCTTTGGTGGCGGGCCGCCTTGTAGTCCAGCTACTATGGGAGGCTGAGGTCAGGAGAAATGGGTTGTGAACCCGGCGCGAGGGCGGAGCTTGCAGTGAGCCAGAATCAAGCCACTGGCGCTCCAGCCTGGGCGACGAAGGTAGAGCTCCCAATCTCCGGAAAAAAAAAAAAAAGAGCAGATGAGAGAGAGAATCCCACCAATTAATGGCAAAGCGGGCCCTAGCCCAGACGTCGCAT